CAGCGCCAGACCGAAGCGCAAAGTAGAATGTTACAGAGAAATCCCGCAGTCGGAAGTTGTATGAATTCTAAATTAAAAAATACAACTGCATTGTTATGGACTACGAAATCTACTGCTTTCAAAATTCAAAATATATTGCAGGTCAAGATTTTTATACTGCTGCAAGTCATCAAGACGTCCCTGAAAGCTGTAAGCCGAAAATGAAGTCCAAATTTCCAAAAAAGAACATGGTTTAGCAAGCTATTTGTTCCTGTGGCCGTAAGAGCAGCCCTTTTTCCCCCATCCGGGACAATGAATGATCAAGTTTATCGGGATGAGTGAATCAAAAGGCGTCTGTCATTTATGAACAGATAAGGCAGTAGGCCACTGTTCTAGGCGGACATGGAAAGCTGCCACTATGCAAGGACACATTGCCGTGGTATAATACATATAACATCAATTTTGCACCTCACAACTGCAATCCACCCAATAGCCCAGAGCTACGTCCTATTGGAGAATATTGGCCAATTGTCTTGCATCTTGAAGAAAACAGTTGAAACAGTAAAAAATATTGAAGGGTGCAAAACAAAGTGGTTGTGCACGTCGCGTTAAGTCGATGATGCAGTCGTGCAGAACGTGATTACGTGTGTGCGATGAAAATACCGATCACTTGCATATGGAGCAAATAATAACTAATATTTTAACATTTTAATAAAATCTAAACTTCCAAGTTATATAATACAAAAAAAAAACTAAATTCAAATCCTTCTAGTTTGTTTCTGGTAGTAATCTCTATGTGTCGCAGATTTGGTGTGTTCACCCTTTATTCGCTTAAGACATATCCACACTTACTATTCAACCTGGAACAAGCATCGTCAAAAGATATGGAACTCTCTGTGTTTTTTAAAACTGACTGAAATAACTGCCGCTTTTGGAGATTTTACTTAAGGTTTACGAAATAAGTAGGCAATGTCCTTACTTTGTAGTAAGTTTTCTCGCTTAGTTCACAAATTGGGTTCTATCGTCCGAAAAATACTTTTTCCCAATGAAATTCCCGTCGAATGCCTTAAAATCAAATTTAAGCAAAATATGCAGCTCAAAAAAGTTCAAGTTTAAGTATTATTTCTCGGCGGCTTGAAGCTAATAATAGTTTTTGATATATTTTTTTTAAGTAAATTAGAACTTAGTAAAAAAGTCAATTGTTTCTTACAAAATAAAACTTTTTAAACTAATTTTCGAAGTTTTACAAAGTTTATTTAGTTGCTTGATAACAACTGAAAGAGCGCAAATCGATTTCGGAAATATATTTCAACTTGCCCGTGCTGCACTAGCAATTTTTATTTCTTCTGCAAGTGAGCGAGAATTTGTGAAAAATATTAAAGAATAATTTGTAATAAAATATTAGGAATAGTTTCAATAAATTATTTTCCGGAATTTAATTGTGTGGTTATAAACGTTATGCAGGAGAAATATTAGGAATAATTTCAATAAATTATTTTTTGGAATCTAATTGTTTGGTTATAACCTTTATGCAGGAGAAATATTTTTTCCGTCGCCATTAAGAGTTATTGCCCAACGTTTATTTTTAACGTTGCTTGATAACAGTTATTTCCCAACGTTTATTTTTAACGTTTCTTAATAACAGTTATTACCCAACAATTATTTTTACGTTGTCTGATAACAGTTATTTCACTCCTCCTTTTTTATTTGCATCATATCTTTCTTGTGCCCCATCGCCGTTTTCGTCAATATTCGTATCTTAAAACGTTTATCAGACAACGTAAAAAATAAATGTTGGGTAAAAACGATGGGAAATAACTGTTATCAAACAACGTAAAAATAAACTTTGGGTTATAACTATTATCGGCGAAATAAAAAATATTTTTATCTAATAACTGTTGTGAGACGTTTTAGTTAAATTTCAGAATTCGGGCAATGTTTTCAATTTGTAAATTCGGGATAATAGTTATTTTTGGTCCCTGGTTATAAATAATAGATAAATCTTGAAATTGAAAATTGAGTTAATTATAATCAAGAGAAATAACAAACCGGCAGCTCACGGTTGTATTTTAGTATCGAGAAAGATTGCAAGACTTTGATTCGCTGTGTGAACAGCCAAAAAGAGTTTCCAGAAATTTTCCTCGCAGTTCACCTTTCGGAAATAAAAAACGTCTTTCGAAAACACTTTACATGCAAGGTGTGACTCGGCATGCAATTGCTTTCTGAAATTTCTCTATTTGACAGCCTTTTCGAAATATATTGCATTGCCACGTCTGACACACTCTTTAGTTGGGGCCTTTTTATATTAAGTATTAAGGTAACGATAAGCACATATGTAGGAACATAGCTCATGTAGTTCATCTTACCATACATGAAGAACAGCCAAAATGTGATTATTGCAAACAGGTATATGAATTGTTTACGTTTTAATTGTCAATTAAGCGTACGTCAGTATTGTTTTGAGAGAGGAGTGTCTTATCAAAAGGTATTTCCACATCCGGTATTTTTTTAGTGCTCTAGCAATGTAGTCAAGAAAAAATTTCTCGTATGCTTCAAAGCATGCAAAATACCAAAATTTTTGTTGGAAGTTCTTCAATCGTACATTCATAATAATAATAACATAATATTTTGGCGCTTACACTTTTGCTAAGAGTTTGGCCGAGCTCTCCTCCAATTTGTTTTGTGCGTCCTTGATGTTGTTACACAAAAAGAGGGACTTACAGTTTTGCACCGCCTCCGATCGGCAGATGGATTTTATGAGGTACTATGTATAAATATACTCGGAGGTTTGCCATTGCCTGCCGAGGGGCGACCGCTCTTAGAATAGACTTTTTCTAATTTAGATGTTTCTCGGACCAGGGACGAGCCCAGGTCCTATGGAGTGGTAGTTCGCACCTCTAACAACTCAGCCACAACGGCCATACTTCCAATATACTTTGTAAAATAGTGAGGTTGTTCACACTTGCCTTATTATTGTGTAGTGTATTTTATTGTTGTTAACTGAATAAAAAATATAACCACATAACCTGATAACCAGCCAAGTGTGAACAACCTCAATGTTTTATGGAAATTCAGTCTTTTGATTAGACGATGCTCGTACATTTTTTTTTATCTATCAAGGGACACGTATAATATGTATGTATTTTTGCTTTATATGTATGCAACAATTAACGATTTTAATAGTCATTTCACTGGGTATCGTGCTGGTGGAGGCTAAATTGTTAGCATTTTTTTGTAATGTAATTTTAAATCCTCTTTTGGTTTAAAATATAAGCAGCCGTTTTTTTATTTAAAATTCTTCATTACATGTAGCAATAATTTCTGTCAGCAGTAAAATATTTGTACGCTAAAAGGACGTCGATGAATTTTAACATGCTAAATGTGAATTTTAAAAATTCTCCTTAATAAGATGCCAACGATTCTATAATGTTTCAATCAACACAAAATAAAAATAATGATTTTTTTATAAATTTTCCTTTTGTCTTTTCATTTGCAACTCGATAATAATTTTAAATCTTCATAAGCTATTAAAATATTGCACCTAAAATTATTGAGTTTTTAACACGAAGCGCTAAGTAGGTCGCTTTTTTATCATCTATAATTTATATACTTTTCTAATTCTCAAATTCCCAAAAAGAAAGTATTAGAAAACTAAAAATGGCCCTTAAATAATATCAAAATTGCATCAACATTATAGAAATTATCAACAAGTTTAGCGTTTATATGTATATAAAAAGTAATTCATGAGTTTATGAGTGTACATGGATGTCTGTATACAATTATTATGGGTTCTGGAGGTGTTGCATGTATGATTGCTAACAAAAATACTAAATTACATTACACTTAAAAAATTTACGAGATCAGGTAAGTATGTATTTGTAACCAGAAACTGATGATTGTTTCGAGTACTGAAAGTCCAGTATAAACTCATACGAGAGGATTTTTAATTTGTGAGAAACGTAGGTGAATTATTTCGCTGCTCGTAATAAAATAGCTAAACTCCTAACAAAAGGCTCATTAAAATCAAGTTTAATACATTCGCTAATGCTAAACATTCAGGAAAAATAATTAATTTCATATATAGGGTTTTAGCTTTGAGATATACACATGTATTTACGTAACGGTATTACTTAACACAAAACAACGATTAGAAGCAATTAAACACAACGAAGTGGTATTGAGGGATTGCGGAATAGGGACAGCTGAGTACTTATAAACATATAAAACAAGGAGAAACTATACACAAAGTTTAAAATATTTCATACTTAAGTAATAGCAATAATAACTAATAGAAAATTCATATTAACAGAATTCATAACAAATATTTAGATTTTTGTACCTATATTTACGAGAGCTCGAGTTGGTGCAGCATTCTAGATTCTACAATTTTGGCAAAACACCTAACAAGGCCAGCAGACTCTTAAGACATTTCCCTCAGTTGTCAAGCTACGAGTATTTACGAAAGCTAATGGCTACACAGCACCTTGAGTTTAATATACCATCGGCCATGCTGAAAAACCTTCCATGTCAATTATTACCTCAGTTTTTAAATGATCTGGCACCAGTATCTGATCGCTTCTGTAAGTCGTTCATCTTCATCAGCCAAAAGTACAGTTTTGCCATTAGTTTATGAGAGTTTACGATTTGCAGATGCACTCCGGAGTAAGTAGCATACCATGTAAGTCCCAAAAGTAATAACTGATAGATCGTTTTGCGGCATCATCGACGATATTTAGCTATTCACATATCTACATATATATACGAACATATGTATGTATATATAAGAAAAGCTCTGAAAAAATTGACGAAATCAGATCGAAATGTAGCTCAATGTGTATTAGTACACCAACGCACATTCGCTTCGTAGGTTTCGTGATTACAAGTACCTCGTTAAAAACACAAATTTCAATAGAACTTGTGCCCACCACTTATTGTCGAATACTCGTAAATGTTTCGGTTTAAAATAAAATTCAATCTATTATACTTAATATTTGCATTGCTTAAACTATCGATAAAATTACTGGTATTTTCGTTTACTGTGTGTGTGTATGCGTGGTAAGCGGGTGCCGGTGATGCTGACAGTGACGGCGATGGCAGCGGCAACGGCATCGGCAACAATGTTGGCGATGACGTTGACATTTTGTTATTGCAAGTCATTGCCGCTGTAGCAGCGGTGTGTGTTGGCATTGCTGCTCGGTTTCTTACTGCCGATGGAGTTGTGGCTGTTGTAACATTATTTGTAAAGTTATGGTTAAAAGTAGTATTAGCATTAGGATTATTGTTGTTGCTGTTACTATCATTATTACTCGTAATATTATTATTGTTACTATTAATATTATTATTACTATAAAATGAATAAGTTGTGATGGTTTTTTCCTAGTTTTGGTCGCCTATGTGTTGCGCCTGCGCCGCCGCTGCTGCCGCCGCTTGTGCTGCCGCCTTCTGCGCCTGCGCTTGTTTCTCCTGCTCGTTGAGCTCTTTGATCGCCTGAATTTCCTTTTTCAACTTCATTCGTCGATTCTGGAACCAGATCTTGATCTGTCGTTCGGTGAGGCAGAGTGCATGCGCCATTTCGATTCTTCGTCGGCGGGTCAAGTAGTGGTTTGTGTGGAACTCCTTTTCCAATTCGAGCGTCTGATAGCGGGTATACGTTTGCCGACCACGCCTTCGGAGGCCATTTGTACCTAAGAAAAAGGAAAGAAAAAGATAGAAAATGTTAGTTTCTTGTCTCTTGAAGTTAGTAGATACATGTAAACATTTGTATGAATGAAAGTTTTTTCGACGAGCGCAGCGAGTAACAACGAAACCATGTTAGGTAGGAATCTTTGAAGTATTCGAACTGTAAGATTAGTGGGTACATACTGACATATGTATATACAGAACCGGCCTAACTAGGCACCCGGGCGCCCTTTAACATTCGATATAATATGATATACATATAAGTATAATAACAAATATATTCTATTTTGAATTTAATATTAATAGTCCTTATCTACATAGAAAAACTTCTTAAACCGAAGTTTCCCTGCTTTTTTAAATATATTTGTTTGAGACGTGGTAACCGCGCGTTTTAATTAATTTTGCATTTGCATAAGTCACTGGTATAGTTACCCGAATACGCAGCGATACCAAGTGATGGGATATCACTTTTGAAGATTGTGCTTTTTCATAAAGTTAAGGCTAGGTCATAAACCCGGCCTAATGCTTCGACAGGTGTTGCCTGACTGTATTCGAGATATGTATATATGTAAATTGTATACTTCATCAAACAACAAATGTGCATCAATATGAGATTTAAAGTTGACCGTTAACCTATTTCCAATACTGAAAAATGTCTATTTTGATGTCTGTTTATGTTAAGTAAGAAATTCTAATATGTATGCAGAAAATTTTTTTATCTTTTGAAATCTTTTCTTTAGAGATAAAAGCATGAAATCCAAAAGAGTATTTCAAAATCCGATTTCAAATATTGGATCAGTTATTGGTTCATCAATAACGGCTTCATACGGATGTTTAATGCGCCTAAGCCGCGTATGTGGTTTGGAAATGGCTGCGTGTCAAGTTCCGTTTATATGAAAGCATATGGGCAATTCTCACAAACTTCGAATTTTTTAGTGAAATTTTATTTTTTAACCGACTTCCAAAAAAGGATATGATAACCTCCAGTTCGTCGGAACATTTTTTTATTTTTTATTTTTATTTTTTTATTGTATTTTTTTTATGTATGTTACCGCATCGGAAAGGTAATGTCTCAGAGGTGGTCCCATACTAATCTGGTTAAGATCCGATCAGTGGATCATGAGATATATATATATATATATATATTTTTTATATTAGAATTGAAGTCGGTCTTTTTTATGCTCAAAATTACTTGTTTTTAAATCGTGAGCAAATGTCTGAGGTTTTTAGTATACGTTCCTTCAGCTCTTAAAATATAAAATTCAACATGGAGCATTGTTTTAAAGCAATGCACCATACGTTTTTACCTTTTTATACGTTTTTCTTTTGAAAGTTTTGTAGCCCATCAAATTTTAGCACAGCCAAGTGCAAATTTTAAGTATCTTGGACTTACCGTTGATTTTTGACATTTTTTTTGTTGAAGTTGCTCGACACTTTTTTCATACAAAAAAAAATATTCCAACATAAACTGCCAAAAATCAATGGTAAGTCCTAGCATCTACAGTGCAAGCTCTTTCATTTGACACCTTATTTTCGAAAATCTAACAAACGGTATAGTTTTAATGGCATCGGCAAAAAATGCCTTTGAGTATTATATACATATATTTTTTTTTTAATTTGTCTTATTTATTTTTCGCTCTGTAACTTTTTAAAGAACAAATAGTGGTGCACGAGGATCATAGTTCCATAGTATATTATACAATAGAGCACACACGTATTTGGCAAAATTTTCAAATTGCAGACGATGTGCTAATAAAAAATATGCATTTTCATTTTTGTGCACGCATCGTAACCTTTTAAAGAAGTTGTTCTTTATGCTCTAGAACACTATAAAAGTTGTCCGATAACAGTTTTAGGTACGCACCAGCCACAGTACACTATAAAAACCGCGTGTGTCAGAAGTAAAACAAAAAGGAGTCACGCCACTTGGACTTCATAATTCCTTTTCTCCAAATACTACCAGCTAATTATAAACTCAAACGTGAGCAACATAGTTGCCAACTAGGTGCTTTAAGCACTAGATTTAGTGCTTTTTGAAAATTAAAACGCCAAAAAAAATTGTTTAGTGCCTAGTGCTTTTTTTAGTGCTCTTCTTCTGAACTCAAATTTCTCATAGATAATTAAAACATGAAATAATTTGAAATATTTAAAGCTGTAGCAGCACTGAATTTAAAAGAATCTACANAAAGTTGTAGCAGCACTGAATTTAAAAGAATCTTCATTCATTTTTTCGTTTGTTGCGATTACATTTTTCTTTCTTTAAATATACCAGTTTTAATCTGCAGTACCTACTACGGTATTACTTCGTTAGCATGAGAAAAAGTTTTAATATATGTGACCTGGTCTACGGAAAGGGGGCTTAGGTGTCAAAAAATCAATTTACACTTTTTGGTTGATTCGGATGGAAGATGAGATGCTTTTTCACGTGGTGAAAAGTAGAAAATCCTAACTTGCTTAGAAGTGTACTAAAAATGTAGAGAAAGAAGAGTAAAAATACGACATAATATAATTTATTGGTAATGAACAAAATACATTGAATTATAAGCTATAAAGACATGATTATACACTAGAAAAACGTATTATNCCTTGAGATCTCCATCCAGCCATCTTAACAAAAGTTTGTTCGGTATCATCTTCTGCCTGAGATACACATACTTCGTCTTCATCATCATCGCTCTCTTCATAGTTTTCATCATCGTTTTCATCATCCTTTTCATGGAAATATTGTCCGTATACGGCACTGAACTCCTCATCAACACTCATGTTTCATTTCATGCGAAATGCGAAGACGATAATCAACAGAAACAGTAAACGTCACTTCTTCAGTGTTACTTTTTTAAATGTTCCACACTAGCAACTTACAC